GTAAAGTGAGGTAGTTATCATTCAAGAGTACGTTAGGTTAGTTTAGCTTCCAAGGAGGGGAATGTCTCACAAAGCTTGCATTCCATATCATTGGTTGTGTTTACATAAGTTGGACTTGGAGGAAAAAACTTGGTCTCATGGATATTACTTCTTATAAGTAAATTGAGGTAGTTATCATTCAAGAGTACATTAGGTTAGTTTAGCTTCCAAGGAGGGGAATGTCTCACAAAGCTTGCATTCCATATCTTTGGTTGTGTTTACATAAGATGGACTTGGAGGAAAAAACTTAGTCTCATGGATTTTAGTATTGGCATAATTCTGTGTCATATAAAAGTAAAGAACGTGTAAGTCTAGGTTGAGATTATGAGTCGAAGACTTAAAGCCCACAGAAACTCGGTTATGAAAGAAGCTTGTTGAAGACTTCATCGGATTTCTTCACCGGATTAAGTTGGTAAGTTGACTTAGAGACCTAGTGAACCGTGGCTGGATTGTTTGATTTGTTTTTTAAAATGGATCTGATCTTAAATTACAATGTAATTGTAGTTGACCCAGAGATTTTATTAATCACAATTTTTTTTGAGCAGGGATTAAAATTGTGTTTCAAAATGGCAAGACGTTCTTGTTTCTAAGGATGTTGAAACATATTAGTGATTGAATGGATCAATATATCAATATGTTTTGGAATGTTTCTAAATGTTTCCTCCAATATTTTGAGGTTTTTCAAGATTTATGGTATATTTTGACCAATATTTTAAAAATGGTTCAAAAATAAATTCTTAAATGCTTATTCGTTTTCATTCTATTTTCAAAACATTTCTGTTTTCTAAGTAACAAAAAGAATGTACCGAAATGAATTTTGATCATTTGTTTTGATAGATATGTTTTTGAAAAATATATTTTGAAAAAAACAAAATTAGGTGTTGATTACAATTGGAACTCAAGCAAGGCTGATGGTGCTTGAGGGACACTGCAAAAGCTCGGACCTAGAACTGATGTTGTTCACACTGGCTTTGCACTGGCTTGGCTCGAGCGAGGTCAAGCATGCTAGAACGGCTACGGCACATCAGACTTTCGAAATTTCCTAATTTCTTTAGTATTCCTAACAAACTCGAGTCTAGAGTATTTGGCCTACTTAAAAACATGACTTGGATGTTTGTGTGTGGAAAAACAGAGGAAAATGAGTGTCTTTGATATTCATTGAGTCTGATAACACATCTTGTTAAGAGCTTGATAGATCTAGTGTTTTTCTTGATTGTGAGTTGTGTTCCAAGAACATATGTAGGTTGTCCTTCTTTGAGAATCACAAGACCTAAATTTGAGAGTATTCATGAGAATTTCTTTTCTAGGGTTGACCCAAAACCTTAAGAGTTGTTCATTTATCTAAAGCAAAATCATTTGAGTTCACCTTGATTTCCGATGATGATCGAGGGTTTGTGGTTGGACAAGTCAACAAGCGTTTTAGGAGGGTCAAAAAAGCCGGGGCTGGACACAAGTTGAACGTGAGAGTTTGTCGGGAAGAGTACAAGACAGGTGGATAGCTTGCAGCTAATGCGTCTACTATGAATTGAGCATTGAGTTTGTACTGTTGATTTTAGTAATGGATTGGTTTGAGCTGGATTTGGTCACTTGATTTTTCACCCTAGGTGGGGTTTTCCACGTTAAAATTCATTGTGTTCATGTGTGGTTGATTTACTTTACTGGTTTGTGATTTGTTTTCCTTGATTCATGGTGTTTAATTGTTGATCTAATTATGACAAGTGATTGAATTGTTGATTTAGGTCAAAGTAAATTGAATTTATAATTGTTGTCGCATTAGACCTATTCACTCCCCTCTAGGTCTATTTGAGTTTACATTGACAATTGATCCACGTAGTCTTAGTAAATTTTCAGCAGATAGAGGAAACTCATATTAACAGCACTTTTATTAATGATACATCAGATACATTTATAGTTCCTTTGGTAAATTTAGCATTCACAGTGAAATCAGCAATGCTGAGGACCATATATTTTTCTTGAAGTACTATGCAAGAGATGTCATAAAGAGGAGGAGATGCATCCTCCCTTTTTGTTGTTTTCCCATTGGTATGGCGAATCTAGAGATAAGATGGGAGAGGCTTTGCCTTAAAAACGTTGGAGGTTATATAATTTTGTTCTTATCATTGAATAGCAAGACATGCAGATACTGGTTTACTCTGAAAGTTTAGCTTGGAATTTGAAGAACTGTAGAGATGTTTCAAACTAAATTGGCACTGCGCTTCTATATAGCAAGATGTAGAAGGTTTATGTTCTTTTTTTCAAGTAGCACAAAGCTTATTACTCATTATTAACCACATTTCTTTCAAGACGCGTCCTGCAAAGCTAGCTGATTGATGTAGGAAGAAAATCTTTCTTGTTTCATATATGGACTAAATACATATTTGTTCCCTAAAGTATGTGTTTTTTGTTAATTTAGTCCATCATGGTTCAATTTTGGCAATTTTGTTCTTGATATTTCTAATTTTGTTCAAGTAGCCCAATTTTTAACTCCCATTAAATTGGTCATAAATCTGGTCCATGTGCGGACCACATGAGGCGCAAACATAGAGTATCAAAAAAAATTATTTCACCCATTAACTGCAGTGTCTATCTTGGTCACACACTCTCTCTTTAAAACAGGGGGAGTGTGGTGCCATTCTCCCCCTCCCTCCCTCCCCCCACCATGCTGCCATAGTCACCATCGCGGCTGCTCCAAACTCCTTGATTCTTCACCACAGCCATGTTCACTGTCCAATATGGCAAACCTGACTAGTTATACGCCTGGGCTGAATATCAATCTGGTGAAGACAGAAGTCAAAGGGTATCCACCTGTACAAGAAGTCATATATGAGACTCAAGTCCTTAAAATCCTCTTTTTGAACATCAGTTCATCCATTGTGATGGAGCTTTCGAACAGAAGTCAGGTCAGGATGCAACAGGAGCGGTAATATCTGAAGGCCTGCTAGTAAAGGGCAGAGAGAGACTTGTTACTCCAGTTTCGGCACTCTTCTCTGAGGCTATTGCAGTTCGAGATGCCTATTGGATTGTACAAGATTGGAACTTGTCAGATAATTATGGAGAAGGATAATGGAGACTTGATGCTGTATAGTGGGTGGGGTTGAACTGAGGGGCCATACCGGGTAGGGTGGCAAGTGGCTGTGAGGATTTGTTTTGGTCCAAATTTGTGGATTGGGAGTTGAGGGAGGCTGCTGGGGATTTGTAGTGGGAGAGAGACTACAGTGGTTTGCGGGGTAGAAAGAGGAGAGAAAAGAGAGGCAAGGGTTGACCTATCTTCCAATATGACCATTAGTGGTTTGCACAATTGTCCCTCGTAAACCCCTCCCTCACTTGATTAGCACGTGATCAAATCTGTTACCATTAGTTAAAAAATGGACCAGTTAAACACAAATTAGAAATATCAAGGACACATTGCCAATACTCAAACATAAGGGACTAAATTGGCCAAAGAATTATAGTTTATGAACAAATGTTTTTTTATTACTTATATAATAAGTGTTATCTGGTTCAAGTTTTTCCTAGCACAAATTGAGGATGTGAAAGCTTTCAAATTTAATGGCTATGATATCTTATTACTAAACCTCTTCAATTTTGGTGGTAATTGCTTAAGATTCATCAAATGAGATGACTAACAATACAATAAAAGCTTGAAGACAACTGTTATAGGAGGTGATGTGAAAGACTGAAACTCTTGGACAAAGCATCTTTGTGATTGATGGTTATAGACTTATAGTGATATTTTGACTTTGCCCTTATAAATACCGGTCTACAAAATACAGTTACTTTTTTAGGTTTATAAACTTATGAGTTTGCTAGAACAGAACATTAGGTGACGACATTCTCAGTTATTTTAGATAAGAAACAAAAACTGTCATTTCATAGAAAGTTGAATATGTACAAAATGGTGGATATGATGTCCAACCTAAGGACAAAAGAATAGAAGGTTACCATACAAAATTTATCAACTAGAAACAGCCTTCTAATTGTTTCATAGCAACACAAAAGAAATATCATGAATCTCATTAGATGATGCTGTCCATAAAGATGCCAATGAACTAATTATATCCCATAATAACTCCATGTTCTGTTATTTTCCTTCAAAAATTCTGTTATTCTCTCCATTTACAACACCCAAATTATGGCCATTATAACACTCCTCAAAATAGTAGCCCTTTTACGATATTCTCAGATAAATCCTCCATATTGACCGAGTGTGTTACTATGGATAACAATATTTGTCATTTTTCACTTTTCTAATGTAAAGAATCTGCACTAGGTCGAAGTATATTCTTCAATTTTTCACGTGAGTTAGGAGCTGTCCTCATGCTATGAAAATGGATGCAAAGACTTTATGTGCATGACCTCATAGTCTTCTCCTTTATTTCTTAGGCTCCTGTTGCATAATGGCCTTGAACATTGAATAGCAGTCATCTATTGATATGGTAGTTTAAGATTATTCTTCTGTTGGAAGTCATGACATTACAGCCCAGGCTTGGAATCTTTTCAAGTTGGGATTTTTGTGCCTCCTGACTCAGCTCCCTATCTCTTGGTTCTTTGTTGTAACCACCCATGAGGAGGTTGGCAGCAATTGCGACAATGTCATTGCAGCAATATACTAATTTCTTCAGAAGATTTTTCACATGAATATGGGAATCGTGCATAAAGCAAGATAGATGCATGCCATGTTGTATCTGAAGGTTAGACATAAGGGAGGGCTTGAATAAACTGTAATAGGGTTTTTTTTTGGGTGGCTACAATTTCTTTGACCACAAAATTTTCTGGCATGGATTAAGATATCAAGGTCAAAAGGATGGGTTTTTGGTTTTGTTGCTAGGATTTCTTGATTGAAATGGACCACAGAATATTCTGGCCTGATTTGATGTTGCTCTTGAAGAACTCAAGTGAATATATAAAAAAAGTTATTTATTGATCACATATTTGGCGAAGTATGTTCCAGTTTCAGGATGATGACTGGAAGTAAGCTTTCTATTAGAGATTCTGAGCAGAGTGAGGAGGATGTGAACGATGTTTTTTTTTTTTTTTTTTTTGTGATTGTGGGGGGGCTTTTAATACTTCAATGATGAAAGATTAATCTGGCAGAGTTTGATTGGCCACACTTTCCAATTTAAAGCTTTAGCCGAAGATTGAACCATGGGATAGGGTATAGGGTTGTCTCCTTTCCTCTATAGTGTGAGTTTGGAGCAGTAATGCTTCTTTTCTTCTTTGCCCTGTTGTGAGCAAATGAATCAGAAGTGGTCCAAGAAAAGATTTTCTTGGGTTTTTGCAGCTCTGAAGAGTTTGAAATTTTCAGTCTCTACAAGTTTTGGGTTAAATTGTGAAGATTTTTGGAACTTAATGGCAGTTGTAGTATACAGGTTTCTAAAGTTTGAATTCGGGAAAGTTTAAAGCTCTTTCATATCGGATTGTTTTCTTGTGGATGAAACAGATGAGCATTTCTGATCAACATGCATTCCTTCATATCAGAGCGATTACTCCATAGTTCGTCTACACATATTTCTTTCGTTGTTTAAATGATGGGCCAGTAGATGCATCTCAAATTTGCTGATTTCTACATTTCCATGTTGCAGCATGTATTCTGAGCTAAGCTCCTCTGCAAAGGAAGATAATCCGCAGCCTGCTGTAGAGCAGTTCTTGAAGCTGCAAGCAAGCTTGAAGAATGCTCTTCTGGTTGCTGATTCCCTATCTAAAACTACCATAGCTGGTTCATCTCCAGCTCATGATGAAAAGCCATCAGAAGAAGCCATAAAGGTCACATCCGACAGACGTAAACAAGCAGCTTCTTGGATCCATGTCGCACTGGCCACCGATCTATCGTCCTTCACAGTATTTAGCAAACAAGCCACTTCAAGTCCAATTCCAGGTTCAACTCCAGCTCCAAGCACAAAGACTATAGCGGGACATCAACCTATATTAGTACTTGAGAACTCTAGTAAGAGTGTGTCAACAAAAGCGCAAGATAAAACTCGCCAGACAGTCAGCTCTAAGATTGTTACTACAGGAACTCCACGCAGGCTAGCAGATGGACCAGCTGTTAGTCAGAAGCCAGGAGCTCCACCACCAACAGAGTGGGTCAGAGGAGATGATCTTGATGAGGCTGTGGACTTGGCTGAAATGTTGCGAATGGAATCCCAGGATTGGTTCCTAGGATTTGTCGAGAGATTCTTGGATGCTGAAGTGGACACCACAGCATTATCAGACAACGGTCAGATAGCAGGCATGTTGACTCAGCTCAAGAGTGTAAATGACTGGTTGGATGAGATTGGGTCTGTCAAGGATGAAGGAGAAACACTTCATATCTCTGCCGAGACAATTGACAGGATAAGGAAAAAGATTTACGAGTATCTTCTTACGCATGTTGAATCAGCGGCCGCTGCACTTGGTGGTGCTGCCTCACAGTCATCACCAACAACAGACACCAAAACAAGAAGATGACTTGATTGGTCCGCACAGCTTGTCCTCATGAAAAATCACATCTTACCATTCATATGTGCAGCTCTAGTGGTAATCAGCTCCTTAAACTGCCAAGTAGTTCAAGGAGCTCAGTATTTTCGAATATTGTATATAAATCCTGCAAAAGGGTTTAGGTATAGATGGAGTAATGGTTATTGAAAGTTAAAGGATTTATTTTTTCCAATTGTTCTTCTTTCTGAGCAGTTTTTACCCACAAGTATAGAGAACAATAGTGTTTGGAGTAGGGGAGCTGGCACTTCTCCTTGCCATGCATGAATGCGTGTTTTCCGACTCTGTATGAGGATCAGGTGTTATATGTAAGATAACATGTGTATTTTTTGGACTTAAAACATGAATATCTTTACATGTTGAGGGGGATGTAATTACAAGGACATAAATTGCTAAAGTGACATACTGCATTGTATTGTTCGGAAAGTGTGGAAGAAATTATTAAGTGAAACATACTCCTACTCTTGTCCTTCAGTGTTGTGTAAATAGGTCAAGCAACAAAGTATACATTACAGGAAAGTTCAAGTAAGCTAGAAGGATTAATAGAAAGTGCTTTTTTCTTTTACCATAGAGAATGACATGGAGGATTCTCATTCTAAAATTGAGTTGAAAACTGAGTTTAGCACTTAAAATGGAAGACATGTCTGAGACTTGAGGGTAGGGAGACTGAGTCTTTTTCTGATGTAGCCGGACACGGACTCCTTTGGGGAGAATTTCTGATACGGATCAATTGAGACTCTTAGCTTGGAATTCTTGAAGGATGCGCCTGTGATCACTTCCTTCCTTTTTGGGGTGGATTTGATTTACATATTTTTAAATGTGAATATGCTGAGTGAATAGGGTACATCCAAGTGTAGGCGATAAAAAAATAGTAAATATTTGATAAAGTCCGAGATTAAACCACAAGAATTAAAAAAAAATTATGAATAAGTTAAAAGAAGAAGATGTTTGATTTTGGTAAAGGTTGAACTAGTTAGAAAATAATTGTAATTAAATTTGAAGGAAATAATTATTGGAAGAATGATCATTTAACTTCAGAAGCTAAATATGATGGAAGAAGTGTTAAGGTGGGCACAAGAGTTGATATCATTGAAAATGATAACACCTTACTTATGTTCATTAGATAATTATATGAACTTTTGGGCCGCAGCTCTATCGGACTGCACTTCTGAGTCATTAAAACCAACCCAAAAACTTATAAGGTCTAAAGGACAAAAATAGCATATTGGACAAAAATACCCTTAAAAACGACAGGTAATGTGCACAAGCGCCTTTTTAGTTCATTTAAAACTGAATGACTTGCCATCATTGCTACGCAAGAACCAACACACTCTCAGTGACAAACCTTCAAACTTCAAAACGACGATTTCAAAGAAAAACCTTCGACGATCATTGATTATAGGGTTCCAGTGAATCTTTTGAGGTGAAATTTGTCTTCTCGAAAAAAATATGCATAAAAAACTATTCTTCAACATATCATTACAAAATATCAAGATATTAGGGTTTCCATCACTCCAAAAAGAGCTTTTCACGAGATTAGGATTTCCATCACGCAAGAAATAATTTTTCACGATTTAGCTAAGTAAAATCTGGTTTATTGAATATAAATATTAGTGAAAAAGAAAAATTTTCATTTTTTCTTTTAAAAAAATGATCATGTTCATATTTTGATGTTATTTTTGATTTACTTGTTCTAATCCAATTTATTATTAATTTAAATATTTTGAATATTTTCATATGTTGCAAAAATTGAAGTAAAAAAAAGTTCAAAAATTCAAAATTTTGTTTAATACATTAAAACAATAAAATATATTATATGCAATATTTTACTGTTTAATGGTGCACATGACAATGTGTTGTATTGGAATGTATTGTTAACAAACAACCTTACTATATTTTACTACTAGCGATACCCCTTGACTGAAGTCACTGTATATTAAGTTATGACTCTGCGTATATTAGAGTATGTATATAATGAGTGTGTGTGTGTATATATAATGAATGTGTGTTGGAGTGTGTGTAACTGTGTGTTATGGAGTATTTGTGTTGGGTTTGTAAAATTTGGGGGAGAAAGTATGTGATGGGCGTGTGAAATTTGGGGAGAAAATATACTCTTCATAAGTTCAAAAATCTAGCTATCTTATTATATAGATTTTATAATACACATAAAAAATACTTGACTTGTTCATAATTGACATGACAATGTGTTCAACTATAACTTAATTGATTTTGTTTCACTATATCATAATATTCTATTTTTACACTCTTAAAACAGTAAAATGCCAAAGAAACAAGTTTGTCGAACAAACTTCTATAAAATTAGAAAGTTCAAAAAAAAAAAAAAACAAGAAGCAACAACATCTGTCAGAAAGTGAAGAACTTAAATACCAGAATCAAAAGACAACATGGAAGCTACTTTAAATAGAAAGAGAGAAAGAAATTATGTCCCTCAATTTAGATCAAATATGAGAGCATTATTGAAACTTTTCAAAGAAATCAAAGTGACAGACTATCAACGAAATGCTCTCAATAGAACACCATTCTAGCTACTATTTGAAGCGATAATAGAGCAAAAGTTTAATCCAAAAATATGCAGAAAAAGTGATGAAGCTGCCACAACACTTCTTCGTACTTATTACCATGTCTCATCAGCTTTCAAACCTTAGAAGCAAAATAGTAAACTTCAGCAAAAATGATGTATCACTTATATTTGGAATAAATGATGATAAAATTAAAGTGTATGCAAAAAAGAAAATGTTAGATTTTGTAATTAGAAGGTTCAAGAAAGAAAAGAAGTTGTTAGTTGCATTACTCAAGTCCACAATGAATATTGTGTCAAAAGGACATAAAAAAACAGATTATGAAGATTTTGCAAGGATGCTTTGCCTTTACACTTTTGTTACTCTGCTCATTCCAATAAGTGGGCAAACTATGAGTTGGGGGTATGTGCAACTGGTAGATGATGTAGACAACGTGAAAACTTATGCATGGTTCGAAGCAATTGCAAATCTCTTTATGTCTTCCGTGTCAAAGAAATTTGACCAACCATATTCAATTAAATAATGTGTTGTTGCATTGCTAGTGAGTGACATTTATATCACTGTGAATATTATATTTATTGCACTATTTTATGAAATTAATTAACATGCTTTCTAGCTCTTTGTTTTCCAGTATTGGTTGTGTGAACACACAAACATTATTCAAATAAAATGCAATAATGCATTTCCAAGATTCATGAAATGAAACCTCCCAGAACTAGCCAGGGTTTTAACTCTAGAAAAGCTGAATCAACTACCTCTTGACAAAGTAAAAAATTGACTGATGTATATAAAAATAAATTCTCATAAGAACTTCATTTCAATGGAAAATATTACAGATTATAGACGATGAATTGAAAAAAAAAAAGCAATTGAAATAAAGCTTTTTTCAAAAAATGTACTGAATACAGAGGGGCAAACATCAGAAGCTGCAAAAGATACAAAGGAAGGAAAAAAGAAAAAAAGAAAGGCAAAGACAAAAAAAAATTGAAAAGGTAACCAAAAGGATGAAGAAGTAGGGAAAAAAACTGCACAAAATTTTGAAGACATTAAAGTTAGAAATAGTGAAAGCAAAAAAATCAAGATCCAATGAAAGAACAACAAGAAGAATCCAAAGGGTGAGGAAAAAGAAGAAGATGAAAACTGTAAAGAAGGGTTAGATGGCTGCTGAAGAAAGAGAAGTTCCACATAGTGATGAAACAAATATTGAAGAAGCAAATTTAAATGATGATGCATATCCTCCTGATGAAGAAAATTAAATGGACATTGAAGACTTTGATTTTAACAATAACATTCTATTGAATGTGATTGCAAGAAATGATATACTCCAACCACCTCTCCTGATGCTGAAAATAGCAAATCAATTCAAACATAAAATCTTGAGGACGTGAAAAATATTTGAGAAGAAGCAAATGCATCAAAAAGTGTAGAAGAGGAAGCAAAAGACAGAATAAAAACAACAGAAATTCCATACATAGAGGAACAGGATACCCCAGAAGGATTGAAAATGATGAAATGCAGCAACTGAAATTAAAGTTGGAAGAAACAGTAAAAGAAAAAGAAACTCTACAAGAAGAAGCAAAATTGGCAAAAGAAATCATATATTCCATAAAGCAAGAAAATGAAATGTTGAAGATAGAGATATTAAAGGGAGAGAAGGTGAATGAAGACAAACAAATGCTGTAACGTCCCAAAATCCACCTTGGACGACATTACAATTTAAAATCATTCACAACATGAGAGCAACTAATAAAGTCCATAAATAAGGCAAATTCCATTTATCATACATAATATCTACAACATCATTCAAAAGAATATATCAAACCATGATATCTACATCTAAAAAGAATATGTCAAACTATGACAATTACATCTCAAAATCAAACTAAATCTTGCAGCAGAATAAATAAAATATCATACATCCATTGTATCACAATACATCTCCTAGTCTAGGGCATGGAGAGATCAACTCTAGACATCCCCCTCCGGATCCACGCTTCCATCCATTTGGGCTTCCCAAGTTACCTGCTCATAACCTTCAAATTCTTCCTCTAAACCGAAATCTGAGAATAGATATTGTTTGTAGGGGTGAGCATTAAGTTCTGTAGCAACATCCTTCCAAACTTGAACAAGGTTTAGAAAATATATAAAACAGTTCGGTCTCACTCTAAAATATCATATATAATTTGAAATAAAACTGACAATTTATTCGATCTCAAGTTACCGCAATAACAATAAGTTAAATGAAAGGAATAAACATGTCAGAATTGAAGATATCAATTAATCATTCAAAAGCATCATCCCATATTCTCCTGTATGTTGGTTGTTTCTCATGAATCTACATGAAAAATCTACCTCGTTCAGCCATCATATCCACACAAAACAATTTAGGGAGGGCGTATACCATCTCCCACAGCATTAACGAGTCCTTTCAAGGAAAGGTATACCATCCTTCAGTCTCGAACTTACGTGAACAATAGTGGTTACTCTCACAAACAACAATCCACTACAAGTGTTAGACAACCATCTCTCCCTCACTGGGATTGGCTAACCTCTAACACTCTACTGCAGTTCTTGAAGGTAATTAAAGTCCATCACAACAAACCATACAAGAAAGGTAATACCAACCATTTTCTTAAATCACAAGTAATTTCAAAACCCCCAATTTCATAGGTATTTTTCCAGCATAACAATTCAAGAAAATAAGCAAGAGATCATCCAAAGATAGGCTTTTATTGTTCCAAGCAAAGCATTAGAGTTTTTGAATCAAGAACAAAAGAATATCAAAAAGAAAAATCCATTTTTCTTAAAACTAGGTTTTGACATCAAGA